TCCTTCTCCTCCTCCTCCTCCTCCTCCTCCTCCTCCTCCTCCACCCGAGCCTCTAAGGGGCAGATGTGTGCACATCCAGTGCACCTCGGGCTTCTGGTGAAGAGAGCCCGAAGCACCCAGCTGCAGGGGATATTGGCAAAAAATTTCCCCCGCAGCGCCACGCCAGCTCGGCTCCGATTCCTCCCCGTCCTCCTCTTGTGAGCGTTTTCTTACTCGGCGTTTTGACATTGGGTGGAAGGGGGGGAGGGGGGGGTCTGGCTCTGAACCTCTGCTTAGTGCGACTGTCGGCAGCAGTGCGTCCTATGGGAGAGGGACTACACCTGCTCGAAACAGGCGCCAAAAACAGCCACTCCATTTGAGGGGGGCGAGGGCCCGTGCCGATCGGCAAAACAATGAACAAGCAAACGATCACCTTCTCTCCTGGCGGGGCGGTGCAAGAGTGCGACGTGATTCACGCGATCTAAAGTTGAGTCGGGCCTGTCCCCCTGCAGGGGGATTTCCGACGACACATAAAACATACCCCCGAAATGGTCAGAAGATAGTCCAAACATAGCCTGGGGGACTACTTTTTGAGTATTGTCTGAAATTGTTGGGGCATTCGTTGGGTATTTTTGTTGTTCGGCGAAAATCTAACACGCCCGACATAAATCTAAAACATCGGCACAAGCATCCCGGGATCATGTATTAAAAAATGCCGGGACTTGGTCCTGCGCCGAGGCAAGGAACCCGCGCGGAGGTCCCGCAGTTTGCGCGTGTGCCCCCTCCTCCTCCTCCTCCTCCTCCTCCTCCTCCTCCTCCTCCTCCTCCTCCTCTCCTCCTCCCGCTCCTCTCCCCTCCTCCTCCTCCTCTCTCTCCTCCTCCTCCTCCCTCCTTCCTCCGCCTCCGCCTCCTCCCTCCTCCTCCTCCTCCTCCGCCGCCGCCGCCTCCTCCTCCCCCAGTCTCCTCCTCCTCCTCCTCCTCCGCCTCCGCCGCCTCCTCCTCCTCCGCCTCCGCCTCCGCCTCCTCCTCCTCCTCCTCCTGCCTGCCGTCGCTCGGACGCCCCTTCTGCGCATGCACGTTCCGGGTCTGCGCGTGTTTTTTTCTGCGGGCAGAGGTGATCCAGGTCTGTTCGTTCTGGGTCTGCTCGTTCTGGGTCTGCGGTGCACTTTCTGGATGCTCCTCGCTGGCCCTCGCCGAGAAGAACAAGTGCACGCGTCCGAGCGATGCCGAGCCTGTGCTTTTCTGCGCGGCTCGGCGCAGTACTCCGGCCGGGGCGGCCCAGGCGCCCCCGGGTCGCAGGGGTGGGAAAACCACACGTTGAGGACGTAGCGCGGCTCGACGCCGTCGTGGCGCACGCTGCGCCGGCGGTGCGCGACCCAAGGCAGAAGAAGAAACAACGGCAAAAATTAGGTCGGGCATGTCCCCCCACAGGCAAATTCGGAAGAACAAACTTAAAATACCCCCCAGATCCCCCAAAATGGTAGAAGAATCTGCAAAAAATAGTCCCACGACTGTTTTTGACTATGTTTGAATATTCCCTCTGTCGAGGGACACGCCCGACTTAAAGGCAAAACCGAAACCTTTCGGCGCTCCGCGCGGATTTCTTGGATCCTCCCTGGCGCGCGGAGCGCGCCAGGGGCGGCGCCGGAGGCGCCGCCGCGGGGGGGCCGGCGCGGATCTAAGGAAGCCGCGCGGAGCGCCCGAAGTCCATGTTTATGCCGCTGTTCCTTCTTCGACGAGAGGAGCAGGGCGAGACCGAGGCCAGAGCCTGCACCAGAACCCCCAACAGTGCCACGTCGATTAGTGAATTGTCCTTTTTCGGTTCTCGGGAGGGCGCCGCGGCCGTTATTTTCCAGGCTCGCGCCCGCGAGGTTTGGGCCTCAGGTCGTTTGCACTAAACCACGTTTTACTGAAGGAAGGTCTGTCCATGCCCGACACATCCCAATAGACGAGGCAGGGACTGACGAAAAGCGGGCCGGGACACAGCGGGGAGCGCGGAGATCGGGCGGTGCTGGAGGATGTGGGCGGGCACCGCGGCCGTTCCAGAGCGCTCCAGAACGCTCTGAGAGCGTTCTGGAGCGCTCTGGAGCAACTTCGCCCAGTCGTTTCGCCCCGCCTTGTATCCACTAGCCCAAGCAGACTGGTCTTAGTAGTAGAAGGAAAAAAAACGCTATCAACATAATAAACTTGTGGCACTCCGCGCGGATTTCTTGGATCCGCGCTGGACACACCTCCCTGGCGCGCGGAGCGCGCCAGGGGCGGCGCCAGAGGCGCAGCGGGGGGGGCCCAGGCGCCTCCCAGAGAAGAACGAACCGCAGCAAGAGCATGCCGACTCTTGAGGCAGGAAGGCGCTTCTTGGAGCAGACTGGGAACGGGGACCCCAGACAGACTTACTTTCAACGACCGCCGTGTACTCGCCCCCCCCCTTCTCGGCTACACGTAAGAGTGACCCTGGGTAAGAGTGACCTTTGGTGCGCAGCTCTTTGGGGACCGCCGGGAGGCCAAATCCAGGCGCGCGAGCCGCTGATACCGCTTCGCGGTCGGCCATCTGGGGGGCCCATCTGTGCCCGCACCAAAGGTCACTCCGGCGAAAGGTCACTCTCACGTCTGGTCGACCTTCGCGCGCCGCCCACTGTGCGCGAAGGTGTCGTCGAACACCAATGCCCGGCCTGCCTGCCAGGCCACCTGCTCCCCGCCGACCGTGAGCCGGATCTCCCCGGCCTCGGCGGCGGCGGCGACGCGGACGGGCGGCGGGCCCGGACTTCCGAGGTATATGTCTTGGCCGCCGCTGTCTCACTGCAGTCGGACCTGGGGCTGTGTGTGGTCTTGCGTCTCGAATGAGTGTCTTTTTCCAGTAACTCCTCCTCCTCCTCCTCCTCCTCCTCCTCCTCCTCCGCCTCCGCCTCCGCCTCCGCCTCCGCCTCCGCCTCCACCTCCGCCTCCGCTGCCTCCTCCTACTGTCGGACCTGGGCTAGATGAACAACCCTCAAGACCATGAAACCCTCCGCCGGCCAAAGCACGCAGAACACTCGATGCTACCGTTAAGTCGGGCGTGTCCCCCTATACAGGGGGGTTTTCTACGAAACATAAAAAATACTGAAAACATATTCCAAAATTGAAAAAAAAATGCTAAAATTATAATCCCATTTTTTCCACTATTTTTGAATATTCCTCCTGTAGAGGGACAGGCCCGATTTAAGGCTACCCACCCCAGGACGCACGAGAGCACCCAACCAGGCACGGAGAACATTCGGGCACCCCCCCCGAGCCGACCCCGACCTTCAAAACCCGGCCCGCACACACGACAATCTCCAGAGATCGGGAGGGCGCCCTCCCCGAACCGACCTCGATCTGCATACCTCGGTCCGGCCGTATGCTTAAGTCGGGCCTGCCCCCCTACAGGGGGATTTTGGACGAAAGATAAAAAATACGCGAAAAATGCCCACACATGGTAAAAACATGCTCAAAAAATAGTTCCCAGACTAGGTTTTGACATAAAAAAAAAATCCCCCTACGTACAGGGTCTCCCCGGAAGCCCCGGGGGCCGACTGCTCCCCCCGGAGTCCTTCTCGGGGGCGACGGCACGGGTGCGAGAGGCCCAGGTGAGACCGGTCCATGCGTCCATGGGGCGGCGAGCGAGGGAGGGAAGCGAGATAGAAAGTATAGGCCTTCGCAGAATACTCGGAGGTCCCACAGCCTTCTGACAAAAAATGTTCTGCGCCTTTCCCCCCTTGTCTCGCCGCCGAATCCAGGGACGCCGACGGTCCATGCCCCCTCTCTCGGCTATGCGCTCCCATCGCCGTCTCCGACCACGTTCTGACCATGCCCGGGCCCGGCGGCGGCCAAAATCTGCCCGTCGTGCCGCGCTTGTTCGCGACGCGGGCATCTCTGTGGCCCAGATCATTGGATACAGCAGGAGCTCGACCACAAGAAACCTCCTACAAGAAACCCAACCCTGAGACAACAGGACTTCCATTGATTTTTGGTGGATGTCACGCTTTCCATCGCAAAAACCATGACCCAAGAAACCCAGGGCATCCTGGAGGCAAGCAGGGTGTTTCTTCGCATGGGTTTCCACTGTACGTACGTATACCAGATATTTGTTCGGTCGCGATCGGTAGCGACCAATCAGCATCACAACTCCCGATTTTGAAGCGAACCAGTCGTCACCGACCCCAGCATTGGAAGCGAAATCGGCAGCGCTCGATCTCGTCGGTTGTGAATGGCAAGTTCCAGTACACGTCGGTCGGAAGAAGTAGGTAGAAACATGAAGTAGGAAGGCGGATATAGTGGATTGGGTCCAGGTCCTCCCAGAGAATAACAAAACACAGCAAAAGCGTGTCGATTCTTAAAGTAGGAAGGCGCTTGAAGTAGATTGGGATCTGAGAATTCAAAAATACATACTTTCAACGACGGGTGTGTATCCAATGATCAGGGCGGGACCAGTAATTAGAGGCCCCCTAGATGGGTCCGAGTAGATGGGGTCGGAGGATCTCGCCGCATCGCCGGTACATTGGCGATGCATCGCTGATGCGTTGGAAATGCATTGGTCGGGGATCTTCTGACCCGGGTCAATCCAGACCAGGGTCAGCAGGAAACCAAAAACTGCAATGCAGGGACAAAAAATGCAACGCAGGTCCTCGCAAACCCGGGTCAGCCAATAGGCGCGGCCGCCTCGCGGCCACGAGCGGCTCCCTAGGCCGGGTCAGCCAGAGGGGGTCTTCGCAGGATCCTGCAGGATCCGGCGCCGTGGCTGACCCCCGTTTGCATTGACCCCCGTCTGAAGGCTCCCGGATTGGCGTTGCACCAGCGACGCCGGCGATGAATCGGCGACGTCGGCGCGGAGAAACTCGGGCCACACATCGAGCCTATGCATCGGCGATGCGGCGCAATCCCCCGACCCCTATCTACTCGGACCCCATCTAGGAGGCCTAGGCTCAGGTCGGGCATGTCCCCCTGCAGGTGGATTTTGGACGATGTGTTTGATTGGAAAACCAGAAATATTCAAAACGATGTAAAAATAAAAAATAATAGGACAGTCGTTGCCATCATTGGAAAAAGGAGTTTGAAGATCCCTCCTGTAGAGGGACACGTCCAACTTGAGCCTAGAGTTTTTCACCCCGACTCGTTTTGTTGACGCTCCTGGGGAAGGGCATGGGCCCCTGGAGGGGCGAAGACGGCCAACCTGCTCCTGTCGCACTTCCTGCTCTCGACGCGGGCCCAAGCTTTTTGAAGGGGCCCCAGGACACACAACTAAATACACACTGATAACAGGGCTCCCCATATTTTCCAATATTTTCTGGATTTTCGTCTTCCCCCCCCCACTTCCCATATTCTCCCATGTTCTCCTGGGGACTCGACGATTCCTTGTGTCTGTGTGTGTGTTTGTTCTCCTGGCTTCCGACGCCGCAGCGCGGCAGGAGGCAGCCCGCGCGCGCGCGTATAGGCGGCCCGAGCCACGGAAAGAGCGCAACCTCACCAGCGGCAGGGGCAGGGAACTCGCCATCACTCGGACGTCCATTCCCTGTGCTTTTTTCAGTTTCGTGCGTGGCTTTTTCGCCAAATGATCAAGGATGCTCCTCGATGGTCCTCGCCGAAGCAAAAATGTACACGTCCGAGCGATGCCAAGGGGAAAGTTAAGCGAAAGTGGCCGCTGGGGAGGATCGGGCCGGGCGAGAAGGGGGGGGGCGCAAAGGGGTGGTTTGAGAATCACCTCACGCAGCTGCTTTTCCCGGGGCCTCCCGGCGCCGGAGGCTGCCATGCATCGAGGAATGGGCCCCTCGGTGGGGCCGAAACCAGCTGCACGCAGCAGATTTCGTAACCACCCCTTTCCCAATCCCCCCCTTTCGTCCGGCCCGAGAGGAGGGAGGAAAAGGGGCCACTCACATCGCAGGCCCCCTCGGCCCTGGGAGCCCTTTACGGGGCCCCGGGGCCGTCAACAAACACGACTCCGACATCGGGGGTCTGGGATGGCGAGGTGCGTCGCCGTGGAGGGGCCGGGGCGGCCAGCCGGTGCTGCACCCCTGGCAGTGCCCAGACATCCGATGTCCTAAGTTCTGCAGCGCGGGATCCCCGAAGTCCCGACCCTTTCGCCGGAACCGGCTTCTCATCCTGAGTAGTTTTTGGACGCCCGAAATGGGTACAGAAAGAATTGGTACGATGCCCAACAACAAACGTTGCTCCAAACCAACAGCGGCCGCTGTTGTGCGGGCGGACTTCTGTCTCAAGTGGACGCAGGCCGCGGCGGCGCGGACAGCGAGCCCTGTTCAAAATGAAGAGGAACTGCTGTTGGGCATCGTGCCTATTCTGTCCGTACCCATTTTGGGCGTCCAGATATAGTTCCCCGGAGAGGCCGAAACCGGCAAGAAACGCTCCCGCGGCGATCTCTTCCACCTTGGCCTAATGGCCTAATATGCCCTATAGACTCGACCTCGGGCCTCCGGCGGCAGCTCGAGAGGACTCAGGCATACCCCAAGAGGAGCGCTCGCGGCGAGGCGCGGCAGTTAAAAAAAAGCGCCCAGAAGCCTTGCCATCGCTCGGACATCCATTCCCTGTGCTCTTTTCGGTTTCGTGCGTGGCTTTTTCGCCAAACGATCAAGGATGCTCCTCGATGGCCCTCGCCGAGGAAACAACGCACACGTCCGAGCGATGCCAAGCAAGAGGAGCGCTCGCGGCGAGGCGCGGCAGTTAAAAAAAAAGCGCCCAGAGTCTGGAGGACGGCCGATAACCAACGAGACCGCCCGACAACCGATAGATAGGAAGGCACCAACTATACACCAACACCGATCCTGGCCCAGGATCACCCTGGGCCCAGGATCGGTGTATACGCCCTCCTGCCTTGCGCAAGAAGGCATATACACCGATCCTGGGCCCAGGGTGATCCTGGGCCAGGATCGGTGTTGGTGTATAGTTGGTGCCCTCCGAATAGAACATCGAGCCTCGGGCCCGGAGAGCCGACGCTCGCAGAGAAGTGGAGCGGGCAAGCTCTCGGCAGGTGTCGGCCTCCATGGGCCCTCCTCGCCGGGGGCCTCCGGGGGGAGCGTCGAGGAACGGCTCGGGACGAAACACACAGGCCACGGGGAAGTGGCCTGGACTCTCGGGTCGGGCGAAAGGGGGGGACGGCAAAGGGGGGGCTTGAGAATCAGCTCACGTAGCTGCTTTTCCCGGCGCCTCCCGGCGCCGGAGGCGGCTATGTGCCGAGGAATGGGCCCCTCGGTGGGGCCGAAACCAGCTGCATGTAGCAAACGTTGTACCCCCCCCCTTTCCCAATCCCCCCCCTTTCGTCCGGCCCGAGACTTCTGCTGGCCCACGCATCCAGAAAGCTGGCGCAGCCAGACCTCGGAGGGCGTTGGCTGGCTGGAAAACGATCGAGGCCCAGACACCCGGCCGCTCCCGTCCTCCGGCGTGGGCCCCGGAGGGCCAGGCCACACTTCTGGCCATCGCTCGGACGTACGTCCAGTCGCTGTGCTTTTTTTTTGTTCGGTCTCGTGCGTGGCTTTGTCGCAGGATGATCCAGGGCGCTCCTTCATCTCATCTCGCCATCGCTCGGACGTCCACTCCCTGTGTTTTGTTCAGTTTCGTGCGTGGCTTTTCGCCAAATGATCAAGGAGGCTCCTCGATGGTCCTCGCCGAAGGAAACGACGAACACGTCCGAGCGATGCCAAGTCATAATCCCCGCCGAGAAAAAGTGCACACGTCTGGGCGATGCCGAGACTTCCCCCGGGGCCGGCTTCTCGCCCCGAGGGTCGCTTCTGTGGACGGTCCCGAGGCCCGCCGAGGGCCCCCCCGAGGCCGAACACTGCTCGCGAATCCCGCCGCCCTAACTGTTGGTCGGAGCGTCGGCTCTCCGGGAGGAGAAGGCGGCGGAGGAGGAGGAGGCGGTGGAGGAGCAAGAGGAGGCGGAGGAGGAGCAAGATGAGGAGGAGGAGGAGGAGCAGGAGGAGGAGGAGGACGAAGAGGAGGAGGAGGAGGAGAAACAAGAGGACGAAGAGGAGGAGGAGGAGGAGGAGGAGGAGGAGGAGGCGAGACCGCGGGCGGCGTCTGCGACGGCTCGGCGGCCGCGGCGGTCGCCTCGGGGACGACGAGCCCCAGGTGCGCCGCGAGGCGCGGTCCCGCCCCGAAGTGCGGCTTCACCCGGCCGCCGGGGGCGAGCCTCGAGGGCCGGCGCGGGTGACAGCTCTCTGCGCAGGAGGAGGAGGAGGAGGAGGAGCAGGAGGAGGAGGAGGAGGAGCAGGAGGAGGAGGAACACGAGGAGGAGGAGGAGCAGGAGCAGGAGGAGCAGGAGGAGGAGGAGGAGCAGGAGGAGGAGGACGAGAAGAGGAGGAGGAGGAGGAGGAGGAGGAGGAGCAGGTGGAGGAGCAGGACGAGGAGAAGCAGGAGGAGGAGGAGCAGTAGGAGGAGGACGAGGAAGAGGAGGAGGAGGAGGAGCAGGACGAGGAGCAGGACGAGGAGGAGGAGCAGGAGGAGGAGGAGCACGAGGAGGAGCTTGAGGAGGAGGAGGAACACCAGGAGGAGGAGGAGGGGCAGGAGGAGGAGATAATGGTCGGCGGCGGGCGAGGGGGGCAAGCGAGGAGGAGAAGGCCTTCTCAGGAGACTCGGAAGTCCCCCCGCCTTCTGACAATTTGACTGAGCCCTTCCCGAGGACAACAACAAACTTCTCCGCCGCCTTCTGAGCAGGCGTTCTCCTCCTCGTTTCCTCTCTCGCTCGTCATTGAAATAGGAGCTTCCCAGATGGGGCTCCAGCAGTGGGGGTCGGAGGATCGCACCCCGCCGCCCCTGATCGTAAGATAACAGAGGCCTCTGCACAGATCCGACGCTGCAATAAAATCGGAGCGGCGGGATGTGGGCAATTGTCGACCCCAAACAAATTGGCGCGGCAGGATTCGGCAATCTTCCACCTCTGGGGGCCCTCGCCGGGCCTCGGGGCCATCACAAAACGACTCCGGGCGAGGAACCGGCCCCGGGGAAGTGGTCCAGAGCTCTGGGGCCCACGCATCGAAAAAATTGAAGCGGCCGGCTGTCTGGGGATGGGGTCGGAGGATTGCGCCGCATCGCCGATGCATTACCGATGCATCGGCGGTGCATCGGCGATGCATCGGCGACGTCGGCGTGGAGGACATCGGGCCCCATATACCGAGCCGCATCGCCGATGCGGAGCGAGCCTCCGACCCCATCTACTCGGACCCCATGTAGGAGGGCTAGATCTTTGGGTACGCCCAGAGATACTCCCAGGCATGCGACGTCTGGAAAAAAGCGCGAGCGTGTTCTTCTTCGCCGTTTTCGGCCTCTAAGGGGCAGTTACGATTCAGGATGAGAAGCCGGTCTCGAAGAACGGATCGGGCCTTCCCCGATCATTGGATACTTGGATGTTCCAGTCGCGACCGACCAGAACGGTCGCTACCGATTCTGATTCCAATTCTGGGATCGCTCGCGACCGATTTGCTTCAAGACCGGTCGCAACGAGCCAACAAACAGCCAGAAACCTCCCGGCGTGATTCTGGCAATGCTGGCCTGGTGGCTTCCGATCCTACCTCGGTCCTCCCGCGGCCGGTCGAAAGGATCCGGGCACCCCTGGAACGCTCAACGCGAGGCGCAGCTGCTGGAGAGCTTTCCCAGGCTGGACAGCCGCCGAGAACCAACGAAGACGCCCGAGAACCTAGAACCTGGAGCCTCGTGTGCTGGCTGGCTCGTGGGCAAAGAGCGTACCCGAATCCGCGGCCTCGCGGCCCGGGCCACGAGGCTGCGACTCCGCGGCTATGGGGCGTTTTTTTTTTTTGCGGGCGCCCCGCGCGGAACGTACGAATGCGACCGCGCACCTGCTGCATCGCGCCCTGGAGTCCAGACCGCGAGGGCTCGGAAACGGCTGGTGGGCTCGCTTCCCAACGCCGCCACCACAAGTAGGAGGGGGGAGCTCTTCCTCCTCCGCATCTTCTGTTGCTCCAATCGTACTTAAGGACCACATCCCAGCAGTAATTTCGAGCACCAGGAAAAGTGTCGAAACAGTGTCGAACCAATGTCAGACGAGAGTCTCCCAGGGCCCGTCACGTGAAAACCCTCGAGTTTGAGTTTCGGCACCTTCTGGGTGCTCGAAATTCTTCCTGGCGATCCAGGCCAAAGCAGCTTGGAACGTCATCATCCTCGTCCCCCACCTCCTTCCCCCCCTCCAACTCGTGGTGGCGCTGGTGGAAAGCAGGCCCAACATCTGTGCGCCGCTCGCCGTGGCCGGCTGGCGCCCTGCCGGGAGCGCCCAGCATCGAGCCCAGAAGCCGGACCGGCGACATCGCCGGTCCGGCGGAGGAGGAGGAGGAGGAGGAGAAGGAGGAGGAGGAGGAGGAGGGGGAGGAGGAGGAGGAGGAGGAGCAGGGGGAGGGGGAGGAGGGGGAGGAGAAGGAGGAGGAGCAGGAGGGGGAGGGGAAGGAGGTGGAGGGGGAGGAGGAGAAGGAGTAGGAGGAGGAGGAGGAGGAGGAGGAGGAGGAGGAGGAGGTGGTGGAGGTGGAGATGGAGGTGGTGGATGACGAGGAGGAGGTGGAGGTGGTGGTAGAGGAGGAGAAGGAGGAGGAGGAGGAGGAGGAGGAGGTGGAGGACCCGGAGGGGCGGACATCGGCAGCCAGGTCGGGCGAAGGCGAAGCGGCGGACACCGGCAGGCCGGCCAGGCCTTTGACCGAGAGCGGAGAGGAGCCAGGTCGGGCTCCGGCGCCGAGGCGAGCCGGAAGCGGGGTCCCTCCGAGACAAGGGGCCCTGCGACAGACAAGTATCGGGGAGACGTAAGACCCGGGTACGGGGGACTCGGAAATCCCCGACGAGGTCGTCAAAAAAATGACGAGGCCGAGCCTGCATTTTGACGAGGCCTCCCGCTGCAGACATCCCCCGAAACTCCTCCTCGTCAAAATCCGAGGCCCGGTCGTCAAAAAACGATGGCGAACCCGAGTCCTGGCAAACCCGGGTCTTACGCTCCCCCGAAAGTAGATACACACAAAGAAAAGGATTCCCCATATTTTCCCATTTTCTGGGTTTTCGTCTTGTCCCCCCCACTTCCCCTTCTGTTCCATCCATTTCTCGGGGATCGACGGTCAATGGTGTCTGTGTGTTTCTGTCCCCTCCTGATCCGAGTCGAATCGGGATCGCATGGAAGAGTCGACATGAGTTGCGTAGGGCTGGGGTGTCAGGTCTGCAGAACACCCCAAACAGACGTCAAGGGGCGCAACCAACCTGTTCGGTCGAGCTGAAACTGATGCACCACACCAAGCGTCATGCCAAAACTTTGAACGTAAACGAATGGTTGGAATTTGCACATCTTCGCCGGCTTCACCGGCGAGGCATTTGATCACCTTCACGTCCCATTTGCTGGTGGTCTTGCAGAGGAAGGCGCTGTCTGACCCTCGGCCCTACTCAAGACTTGGGAAAACCAAACAATTCCGACACCGCTACTCCCCAGACCTCTCCTGGAGTGCGTCCTGACCAGAATCTCGAAACGAATCCCGTGGTGGCGACGAGGGCAGCCCAGGAGGCCCAAGAAGGGGAAAACGGAGGAAAGGTAGCGGTATGTCAGGCAAGACATCTTGCAGACGCGATGCATGGATTCATGCTGCTGGTTTATTGTTGCTGACCGCCGCTGTCCATGCGTAATACTCCCGCATGGATACTCGCATGAATTCTGGCATGAATTCTGGCCGGATTCCGCATGGATTTGTTCCTTCCTCTTTCCAGCGCCCGGATTCCACGTGATTTTACATTGCTTGGCAATGGGACAAATCCCTTCAGAATCCACGCAAAAATACATACCCGCTTTTGTGTTTGTGCTCTATGGTTCTCGCCGCGGAATCCATGTGCAAATCCACAGCATCCACTCGGAATCCATACTGCAGAATGCCCTGCCTGAGTTTATGGGTACCTTTCCCCCCTCCGAAGATGTGAGCCCCGGGCCCTCCAGCCTGAGGAAGCCCGCGCCGCCCAGCGGGCACCCCGCCACCTCGTGAGCGAGGACCGACCGTCCCGGCATTCCGATAGGCCTACCACGGAATGTCCTGAGAACCCCCAGACATGTTCTGACAACAGAAACCGTGCTCTGGGACCCCAGACTCTGGGAACATGAGCCCGATGCGTGTCAAAACAAGACGGCCCCAACCAAACATGCTCTGAGAGCATGTCGGGCAACCCGCAGAATGTACTTAGACAATTATTTGGTGAATTATCGGCGAGCCTAGTCGCTTCGCCGCTGTTCGACAGAAGGGGGAGGAGGAGGGGGAGGAGGAGGAGGAGGAGGAGGAGGAGGAGGAGGAGGAGGAGGAGGAGAGGAGGAGCATGAGGGGAGGAGGAGGAGGAGGAGGAGGAGGGAGGACCAGGAGGAGGAGGAGGAGGAGGAGGAGGACGAGGAGGAGGGAGGAGGAGGATAGAAGGAGGAGGAGGAGGAGGAGGAGGAGGAGGAGGAGGAGGAGGAGGGAGGAGGAGGGACAGGAGAGGAAGGAGGAGGCAGGAGGCGGAGGAGGAGGAGGAGGAGGAGGAGGAGGCATAGAGGAAGAGAAGGAGGAAGAGGAGAAGGAGGAGGAGGAACGGAGGAGGCATAGAGGAGGTGGAGGAGCAGGAGGAGGAGGCATAGAGGAGGAGGAGGAGGAGGAGGAGGGGGGGAGGAGGGGAGGAGGAGGAGGAGGAGGAGGAGGAGGAGGAGGAGGAGGCAAGGAGGAGAGAGGAGGAGGAGGAGGAGGAGGAATCTTCTTAGGACACTCTTTGGTGGGCCTATCGGCGAGCCAGGACGCTTCACCGCTGCATGTAGGCCTCGGGCCGCGCGCGCAGCAGCGCGCAGGCCCGCGGCGCGGCGCGGCACGCGGCCGCGCTCCAGGCGCCCCCGCGCAGGAGGTAGACGGTCTGCCAGTCGTCGTCGCGCGGCCCGAACTCCTCGGAGCAGCGCAGGGGGGGGGCTATGCTCCTCCTCCTCGCCCCTCCTCGCCCCTCCTCGCTCCTCCTCGCTCCTCACTCCCCCCTCCTCCGATCATCCCTCCTCCTCCTCCTCCTCCTCCTCCCTCTCCTTCCGTCGTCGCGCGGCCAGAACTCTTCGGGGCAGCGTCGGGGGGGGGGGGGGTTATGCTCCTCCACCTTGCCCCTCCTCGCTCCTCGCTCCTCCCTTATCGATCATCCCTCCCCCTCCTCCTCCTCCGTGTCCTTCTCTAGCTCCTTCTCCTTCTGCCTCCCGCCGTCATCGTCGTCGTCGTCGTGGCCAGAAGTCCTCGGGAGTTCGGGCAACAGAAAACGTTCGCCTGAGAGCTGGAGCCTCGAACACAAATCCAGGCGGGTGTGTTCATCGTGTTCGGCCTCTCGGAGCCCGAACGATAATCTAATGCATTGCGTAGCGAGGGGGGAAAAGAACAGTGAGACAGGTATGAAGAACTACAAGAAGAGAGAGAGAGAGAGAGGAAGAGAGAAAGAGAGAACAAGGCATGAGAGAAAGAGCTATTATTGAACACGGAACAACAAACATCAGAGACAACGACTAGACAATGCATTGTGTACCAAAGAAAGAGACAGATATAAAGGACTACCGGAAGAGAGAGGGAGAGAGAAAGAAAGGGAGGAGAGAGGATAACGAGAGAGAGAGAGGAAGAGAAATCGCATGAAACTGAGAAGCACATCAGCAACAAGAACATGATGAAGACGTATACAAGCGAAAGACCCAACCATGCGCAATTGTGCATATCGCGTTGTGGGTACCGCTTTCGGTGGAGCTCCATATGGGGCCACGAGCCAAAACAAGGGTGTGCCAAAATGGGCGTCGGGCGAATGCGGACCCTGCCACTGGGGCCATCGGTGGAACTCCCTGCTGGGCCACAAACCGTGTGAGGGGTGTGCCAAAATGGGTGGCGGTCCCCGCATGCGGACCCTGCCACTGGAACTTTCGGTGGAGCTCCCTGTGGGGCCACAAACCGTGTGAAGGTGTGCCAAAAGGGGTGGCGGTCCCCGCATGCGGACCCTGCCGCGGGAACCTTCGGTGGAACTCCCTGTGGGGCCACGAACCGTGTGGAAAACGTGCCGAAATGCACGGCGCTGGGGCCTTCGGTGGAGCTCCTTGTGGGGCCACGGACCGTGAGAACAATGTGCCAAAATGGGCGGCGGGCTGGGCCACGAACCGTGCGCAAAATGTGCCAAAATCGGTGGCGGTCCCCGCATGCGGACCCTGCCGCGGGAACCTTCGGTGGAACTCCATGTTGGGCCACGGGCCGTGTGAAAGGTGCCAAAATGGGTGGCGGTCCCCGCATGCGGACCCTGCCTCTGGGGCCATCGGTGGAGCTCCCTGTGGGGCCACGGACCGTGTGAGGGGTGTGCCCAAATGGGCGGCGGTCCCCGCATACGGACCATGCCACGGGCACCTTCGGTAGAGCTCCCTGTTGGGCCACGAGCCGGGTGAAGGGTGCGCCAAAATGGGACCAAGAAAGAAAGAGAGAGAGAAGGGGGGGCGCCCACCGACAACCGCCCACCCACAGCCGCCCACCCAAATCGGCGGGCCACTGCCGCCAATCTCTCCGATGTCCGCTAGGACCCCACTCGGTGCAAACGCGGACTCGGGAAAAAACCGGTCCGGGGGACTCGATCGAGAATTTGGCTCGTCGTCGCGCGGCCGGAACCCGTCAGGAAGTCGGCCACTTTACTTCGGATCCTCGTCGGACTTGCGGCGGGTTCACGTCGGGTTACGTCGGGTCTGCGTCGGATTTACGTGTGACTTACGCCGGAGCATCGCACCGCGAACGCGGAACCATATTTTAAGGAACGGGCGTGCGGACTCTATTCTTACAAGCATTGCGCGCCGCGCATCGCCTCGAAGATCTTCCCCGTTCCACACAATGGATTTGCACGTAGCGCGTTCTTACTGTCAGCTTGTGATTAACGGATCTGTGGGGGGCGGGTGTCTTAAAACATCGTTTCCCTGCTCGGGCGGATCGCGCGGTGGCGCCCACCAGATTGAAAACCAATGGCGGCGGCGCCAATGATTGGCACCGACGCCCAACCGCCAGCGGGAAGGCGACAGACAGCACAAACTGGGAGAGGGGAAGGGGGCGGGAGGTGAAGGCGGCAGAAGCAGAGGACACCTGTTCGAAATTACGAAAAACTGTTGTTGGCGTTCGCCACGCATTTTCCCCGCTTTTCTGTCGAGCCGATGCGTTGCCTTTGCCCTGGCCGCACCCACGGAGGCGTTTGCTGCCTCGCGGGCCCGGGTGCGAGCCGGGTTGGACGAAAGAGGGGCGTGGCCACGCAGGGATTTGCCCAACAGTTCACAATGCTGATTTTCCGAACGCCCCCTGGCGCCGGAAGCGGCCGCATCGAGGACAGGCCCCTCGGCAGGGCGACCGAAACCAGCTGCGCGCAGCAGGTTTCGCACCCCTCCGTTCCTTCCCTCGTCTTTCGTCCGGCCCGGGCAAAGCGGGCAGTCCTCCTCCCCCCTTCTGTCGTGGTTTCCGTAGTCGTCGACGACGACGAAAACGAAACGAAGTCGACGACGAGGGGGACGAGGACGAGGACGAGGACGATGGACGGCAGGCGGCGACGGCTGCGACGACGACGACGACGACGCACTGCAGAGCCCTACGGCGGGGGGGGGCTGCGCAGGCCCGATGTAGTCGTCGACGACGGCGACGACGAAGACGACGACGAAGAAGAAGAAGACGGCGGCGGCGACATATGACGACGCGACGACGACGGCGCACTGCGGATGCCGTATGGTCATCGGCGCGATGAGCATTGGCGCCGCCATTTGCCCCGCCGTCGCCACTGTCATTGTCGCCACCAACATCGTTTTTATCATGATCTTGTCTGCGGCAGTCGACGTCGCCGCAGCGCTGCGCCCGCCAGAGTCGCCGACTCGCGCTGAAGTGCCCGCGCGTCAGCGCGTCTGGAAAGACGCGCTGCGAAGTGCCCGGCGGCCAGCGCCACCGCGGCCGTCGGTCGCGTCAGACTCACCGCGGCGACGCGACAGCCAGCGCCGAGCAGTCATCGCAAGCGCCACCGCGGGGGCTTTGCAAACCAAAGTCGCGGGCGGGCGGGCTGACAACATCAAGTGGGGCTGACAACTTCAAGCGGGGCTGGCAACTCCAAGTCTGGCAACGCCAAGGTGGGTTCGCCATGGAAGAAGCATCGCTATCTACCCCACCCTCCCGCTCGGACTTAACGGGCGACGTTTTCGGACTGGCGCTCGCGCGTGCACGCGCGTGCTTGGCCATTCAAAAAGCGCGCAGACACCGCCACCGGCAGTCCGATTATCGACCCCCGCACCCCCTCATTCTTGTCAGCGAGCACAGTGCGCGCGCAGTCGTTGGCGACAAATCATCGGCGTTCAAAAACCCCGTGCAACAAGAAAACAACAAAGACAATGCGCTCGCGCGCCGTCGTGCTCGCGCGCCGAAATCGCTCAAAATGCAAAGCCTTCGCGAGGAATTCAAAATCGATAACCCGAAAACAAATGCAAACGCATGGTTTTGCAGCGCGATCGCTCAGAGAAGTACGCGCACGCTGCCACGTCGAATCAGGAAGAAATCCACGGGTTCATCGACGCGTACGTCAAATCCTACCAAATGGACCCTCGCGCGCGCGTGGCCAAATCATTCGAACACCCTTGCGCGCGCGCAGGGGCTCGGAAGGGGCGCGATCCCTGCCGGAAAAAAACCGCGCGGGCCACTCGCTCGCGCTTGCCGCGCGCGCGCGTCAAAATCCTTCCAGGACCCTACTTGCCGACGCGAGGGCGCCATCATCGTCGTCGGCGCGATCCGCATCGGCGCCGTCATTGGCCCTGCCGTCGCCATTGTCACCGTCGCCACCAACGCCGCTACAATCATCATCTTTTGCGCCGTTGTCGACGTCGCCGCAGCGCCGCGCCCGCCCAAGTCGCGGGCTCGCGCCGAACCGCGCGCCAGGGCGACCTGCGAGACGCGCCAGGACCGGGCCGGCAGGCCGCCTTGCGCGCGGGTTCGCGCGTTAGCGCGGCCGCGGCGACGCGCCAGCCAGCGCCGAGCCATCATCGTCGTTTTCGCCGCGTGGGTTTGCAAGCCAAGTCGCGCGTGGCCAGGTGGAACTAATGCGCGAGCGGCGGAATCGACAACGCGCTGCGGACCACAAACAATTGGACAACGTATGTAGACAAGTGGAATCTGACCCACCCACCCCCCGCGCCGAAGGATCATCGCCGCCCCAGGGGCGCGCCTTTGACGAATGATCCTGACCCATCGTCCATTTTGCATGTGAATTTACGCCGCCCCAGCCCGCCCACCATGGGCACCCCCTCATCCCCTGCAGCAGATAAAACGCGCGCGCGCCCGCTCATCAAGAATCACCCAGCGTCGCGAACCATTTGCAAGCAAACAAAGACCACGAACTGCGCGCGCGAGCAATTCACGAGTTCGCCAATACGTTCATCACATGCGACCAAACGCCCCCTCGCGCGCGCACGCCGAAATCAGTGAACGCCCTTGAGCGCGCGCGGGGGGGAGAAGAGCGCGACAATTGTCAGAAGATACGACGCGGGCCACTCGCGCGCGTCGGCCGCGCGCGCATGTCGAAATCCAACCAAGAACCTCCATCTCCAACGCGAGGACACCACCATTGCCATCGGCCTGATTAGCATCGGCACGGTCATTGTTCTCGCCGTCGCCATCGTCATCGTCGTCGCCATCATGGCTATTATCACCACCGCGTCTGCCGCAGTCGGCGTCGCCGTGGCACCGCGCCCGCCCGAGTCACCGACTCGCGCTGCGCAGCGCGCGCGTCAGCGCGGCCTGCGAAAAAACGCTGAAAAGTTACCAGTGGTCAGCGCCACCGCGGCCGCGCTGGTCGCGCCAGACTGAGACGGCCGCCGCGCGCGCGAGCCTGCGCGGGCCAGTGCGGCCGCGGCGGTGCACCCGCCAGCGCCGCGCACTCATCGCCATCGCCGCCGCGTGGATTTTGCAAACCAAATTGCCGGCGGATGGGCGGCGCGATTGCGCGAACAGTGGAAAATGTAGATTCTACCCCCCCCCCCCGGGATTGTCGACCCGCCCTTCCGCGCTGCAGTTTGCAAATGCAATGTGCAAGCGATTCTGCCCCATCGTCCATCCTAACTGTCTGTGAATTCGCACCGTGCCACGCAGGCCGGCATCGACCCCGCTTGAAAAGTTATTTGCGCGCAGCCGTTTCTCTAACATCACCAGTTTTCAAACATCCTCTTTTGGCAGAAAACAGGAAACTTAGCCTGGCGACGGGCCCAACCACGCGCGGTTGTGAATGACGGAATTGCGAATGACAGATTCGCCCGCGCCCCCTATGTGGCCACGGCTTTCCGCAGGGGCCCGACATTTTCAGGGACACGTTCGCGGCCGTCTTCGCGGGCGCCGACGACGGCGAGGGCGCCGCCCCCCTGACGGAGGAGCAGAAGCAGGAAAGGCCTCTGAAAACCATGAAGGAGACTGCCACTGGCGCGTTCGGTGGAACCCCTACGGGACCACGGTCCTCATGAGGGGTGTGCCGAAATGGCCCGAAACCGCCGTGCGAAGCCTGCCCGCGGCGCCTTCGGTGGAGCTCCCTATGGGGCCACGATCCTCGTGAGCGGTGTGCCGAAATTCGCAGAGGCCGCCCTGCGAACCCTGCCACTGGGGCATTCGGTGGAGCTCCCTATGGGGCCACGATCCTCCTGAGGGGCGTGCCGGAATGGCCCGAGGCCGCCATGCGACGGCGCTGCCGCGCGGCTTCAGGCGCCGCCCTGCGAGGCCACTGGCACCGCCTGCCCGCGCGGCCTGCTGCAGGTCGGTTTGCAAGGAAACGGCTGCGAGTCCAGCTCCTGCGGGGCGAATGATTTTGCCCAGCCCGCGGCGATGGGCGTCTCCTGCGACAGCGCCACGGTCTGCGCCTGCCGGGCGACCCCCGCCAGGGGGCCAGCCCTGGGGGCGAGCAGGGCGGGCTCCAGGTGGGCGACAACGGCCGCCGCCCTGCGGGCGTCCACTTTGCTGCGGTGGCGCAGCGGCACGGCGGCCGCCTGGGACGTTGCCGCCGCGTCCTGGTTGCGCGTTGATTTCCTGACCACGTCGGCCGCTCCGTCGAGCGCGGAAACGGAGCGGCACGAGGAATTCAAACAGCACCACCAGGACACCGCGCGGACTGACGCGGCGCAGGGATTCACTTTCCTCCTCGTGGCCCACGGCACTGGAAGCCCGCGGCGGCGGGCGGGGCCGCGAAACACGCAGGAGGTTTAGGGTCCGGGCGCCTGACGCCGCGGGAAAAGACGCCGCGCTAGTTGCTGACCAACACGTTTAGTAAATTTCTTTTCTTGCGCAGGTAGATCGCGCGAGCGATGCTGTGAGGTCCAGTCTGGAGCACCAGCCTGCCTGGCCGCAGCCGCTGGTGCCTCCACGGCGGACGCGGCGGTGCCCAGCCCCCCCCCCGCGCCCCACCAGCCCTTGCTGGACAGCACGGGCGCCCCCCGCGCCCTTCTGCCAGCGTCGCGCGGGCGGCCCCTCGCACCCCCCCCCCCTCCTCCTCTCAATCACGCCATCCAGCCTCTCCCCGGCGTGGCGGGGCGGCGGGCGATCCCGCTGACCCCCCCCCCAAGCCGCAGCGTGCCGGGCTCGGTCGGCCACGCCGCGCCGCCCCCCGACGAATCCCCCGACAGCCCTTCCCGACGACCGCCAACGATCCCCCCCCCCCCCGACGCCCCATCCACCGCCCTCTCCACTGGTACGCCTTCTGCTTGTGTTTGCTTCCCTTTGTTTTGCTTTCCTTTGCCTCTCTTCTTTTCCTCCCGCTCCCTGCCTGCCGTCTCCGCCCGCCCCATTTCCGCCTACCCGCCCGCCTCGACAACCCTGGCCTCCCAATTGCGCGTTCGTCGTCGTCTGCCTGGTTGTCCCCTCTTCTTCCCCTCTCTTTCCCCCTTCGCCCAGCAGGACAATCTGCCCGGGATCAGCGTAGCCGTGCGTATAGGGCTTCGCCAGGAGGTTAGGTCCGGTTCCGGGCATTCTGCCAACGACTTGTGGCATACAGACCTGGCAGAATCTGCGCGAATCTCATGTTTTTGCCAGTCTGGGCGTGGGTCCACTGAATGTCAGCCTTCGGGGGGCCGTTTTTGGGCCCAGGGCCGATTACCAAAAACGGATCCGGGACGAGATACTGACCCCAGGCAAGGAGTCGGGACCTCTCGGGTCGCGCATTGAACTAATCAGATCGGCGGATGTCAGGGCAAGCGGAGTTCTTCGGGCAACGCGTCCACCACCCTCCCTAGCCCCCTGCGGGCTCCGCCAAGCGCCGACCCGAGAGATCCGCGCGAGCCATCGAGAGTTCATGCTTGTGCCGATGCTTTAACTGTTCGACTCCTGGTAGTGCGAGCCCGCGTTCGCGTTCGCCGCGTGGAGCTCCGCGAACCACGGAAGCACGCTCTCCTGAGTGGCAACGGCGGTTTGGGGGGGGCTGACTCAGGGGGGGAAGCCTCGACCTGGATGGGATCGGCGATACGTCGCCGACGCATTGGCAATCGACCGAATTTGGAATCGTTCGCGATACCGCCCGTGACACGCCCCCTCCCCTCAGCGGACACGCCCGTAGCCCCCAACGGTGATCGGTTGGCGAGCCGGGTTTCGGGTCAGTCATAGCTCCACTCTGAGGCGACCGTTTGGGATGACTCGGGCAGCCCCAGAACGCTCTCGGCGAGGCGCAGCCGCTGGAGCGCATCCCGATGCTGGACACCCACAAGAACTCATGCAGACGTCCGAAAACCGAGTAAGCTCTAACTTCGATCACCTAAAATTTTGCCCCTGACGTCCCCCTCGAAGTTGTCCCTGAGCACGTCCCCCGCTCAGGAGCGTTCGGCTCCACTACTAGGCCCGGGGGCATCAATCGGGGGCGGGGGGGGGGAGACGCATGGACCCCCGATCGTCCATTCATCGCCGATGGGGGCCCGATGTCCCACCCCCGCACAGAAGTTGTCGTCGCCCCCGAGCTCCAGGTCGGCCAGGAAGTCGTGGAAGTGCGCCTCCAGGAAGCCAGCCAGCGGCACGTCGACAGTGGCCCACAGGGGCCCGCGTGCGAGGCGCGGGAAGTGGTCCTCTTGCTGAAGCCAAGCGCACTCGCACAAGAAGTCTCGGCAGACATATTCCCAACTCCCCAACCGACGGGAAGGGGTCTCCGCAAGCGAGCACTGGCTGAGGGAGGAGAAGAGGATTATGATGATGATGATGATGATGATGAGGAGGAGGAGGAGGAGGAGGAGGAGGAGGAGGAGGAGGGGGAGGAGGAGGGGGAGGGGGAGGGGGAGAGGAGGGGAAGGAGGAGGAAGAGGAGAACGCACGAACGAACGACTCTGCAGAGGAGTGTCAGCTGGTCCTGCGGCCTCTCGGGGCACTTCAAATCAACAACAGAAGATTTCCAGGGCAGGCTCGCTTCTAGAGGGCGCTGTGATGTGTGGTTATTCATCACGCGTGGCACTCGGTGCACTTGTGCTCCCGCCCACGCCCTACCTCGGCTGAAAGCCCGTGCTTTAAAGGCTGGGAATGGCCGTAGGGTCGGGGCAGAGAGGGGGAAAACGAACGGCGTGAGGAGGAGGAGGAGGAGGAGGAGGAGGAGGAGGGAGGAGCTCCTCGTTGAAGCTGGTGGCACGGCGAGGCTCGGGGCTGGCGCAGAGGCGGCCCCCGGGGGGCCGGTCTCGGCTGCACTCGGCGGGCCTTCCCGGGAAGCCCGGGGCGGGTGTGCGTCACTGGCGGGGCAGCAGACGGCGGTGGGCGAAGACACGCGCACCCCCCGTGCACGTCTTGGGCCCCGCCCCCGCGGCGGCAGTCATTAGTGGCAGGGCCCCCTTTCCTGCAAGCCTCGATCCCGGGCGTTCGGGGTGGACGCCCGTGACGGGTGCGGAACACCACGGGCACGATGCCCAGCCACAGGTATTGTCCCCAAAGCTGGCAGCGGCCGCTGTTGGGCAGGCGGCCTGGTGCCCCGAGTGGGCTACGCACGTGGCGGCACCGACCGCGAGCCCTGCTCGAGCTGGACGGGAGGTGCTGCCAGCCTTCGATGAACGGGGAAGGGCAGGATGATTCGGGAAGGCTGGATACCCGAGGGTTCGGGAAGGTTGGACACCAGAATCATCCTGGAAATCTGCACTCCGGGGCAACTCCAGCCTGGGCACCCCGAGGCGCGACTCTGTAGCTATCCCCTGACCGCCACCCGGCCCTTACTGACTCGGGGCTCTCCTCCCCCTCACCTCCTCCTCCCTCCTCCTCTCCTCCTCCTTCCTCCTCCTCCTCCTCCTCCTCTCCACCTCCTTCCTCCCTCCTCCTCCTCCTCCTCCTCCTCCTCCTCCTCCTCCTCCTCCTCCTCCTCCTCCCTCTCCTCTCCCCCCTCCTCCCTCCTCCCCTCCTCCTCCTCCTCCTCCCCTCCTCCTCCTCCTCCTCCTCCTCCTCCTCCTCCTCCTCTCCTCCTCCTCCTCCTCCTTCTCCTCCCCCTCCTCCCCCCTCTTCCCCCCTCCCCTCTCCTCTCCTCCTCCTCCTCCTCCTCCTCTCCTATCCTCCTCCTCCCCCTCCTCCTCCTCCTCCTCCTCCTCCTCCTCCTCCTCCTCCTCCTCCTCCTCCTCCCCCTTCCGCCCCCCACGCGGCCCCGCAGGTGGCCGGAGCCCCCCGCGCGGCCCCGCCGTCGCCAAGGATGCCTCCCGCCGACGGGGCGGGCTCTGCGCCGAGCACTCCGCGGAGCTGCGCAGCACTCCCCGCTCCCCAAGCGGTGCTTGCACTGAGGGGGCACCGTCCTCCTCCTCTCCTCCTCCTCCTCCTCCCTCCTCCCTCCTCCTCCTCTCCTCCTCCTCCTCCCCCATCCTCCTCCTCCGCCTCCTCCTCCTGGAGTCGCATTCCCCAATCAGTGCTTGCTCTGGAGGGGTCCCAGCGGATAGTCCCCAATCGGTGCCTGCACTGAAGGGGTCCTACCGGACATTGAAAGATTTGGCAAACGCGTTCCGCCGACGCTGGTGGCTGGCCGGGTTCCCAGCTTCCCGGTTCCGGGCTCCCGGGTTCCTGCTCAATGATTGGCTCCGGGCCGACTTCGGTGGGCTCCGGGCTCCTGGGTTCCCAGTCGACCTCCTTGGCGGTAAAACCATCCACTGATTGGGGCTCTTCTCTGCAGAGAAGATCCCCAATCACACCATGGTTCATGCATTTCTGGTTCATGTATTTCTCTGGTGTCCTGTCTTTCTCGCACGCCCGACGGACAGATCCGGGTCCGAGGGAACGGAGCCCTCCCGCCGACGGAGCGGGCCGTGCGTCGGGTGCGCCGCAGATCTGCGGAGCCCTCGACGTGTGATGCTCGCACGCCCGGCGGAAACATCAAGTCCGAATCATCCCTCGGTCAGAAGACCTACAGTACAGGGCAATGTTTAATGCATCTGATGTTTTAACATATAGGATTTCGAATGCATGACTAGTTCATGAGTGAATGTATGCATGAACTAATCGTTGCTGTTGATACTAAATCCCAGCATTTGTAATACATGATCCACACGCGGAACATGTATCAACAACGGCACTGTAGGTAGAAACATGAAGCAGGAAGGCGTTGAAGGCAGATCGGGCGCCGTCCGCCACATTGGGAGGACGGACAAGGTAAGGCTACTCGACCATTGGAGGTAGGAATTGGGATATAGGAATCCAAAATACCTATGTTCAAAGACCGATGGGTAATTATGTAGTCGATCTCCTGTCTTGGATAGGGCGGGGGGTAAGGTCTGCCGAGCATCCCAAAGCAACCTGTTCGGTCGAGCTGAAATAGACGCACCACACCCGGCATCAAACCAAAATTGTGGACACAAACGAACGGCTGGACTTTGCACATCTTCGCCGTCTCAACCGCCGAGGCGTTTGATCACCTTGACGTCCCTCTTTAGTTCTGCAGAGGAAGGCGCTCTCTGACCCTCGGTCCTGCTCAACGGGCCCCTTATGTTGAGCAGGGATCGACCGTCCCGGCATTCCTATAGGCTATAGGCCTACCACGAAATTACCTTAGAACACAAATCCGCTCTAGTAGCAATACATCAGACCACTGAAAGGTTCCTACAACACCCTGGCTCTTAGAACACACTCCCAGGTGGACCTACAGAAGGCGAGCTAGGACGCTTCGCCACTGTTTGACCAGTGTCAGGTCGGGCATGTCTCCCCACAGGCGGATTTCGGAGGACACATAAGACTATGCAGACAAACACTGAAACAAGATCAAACCTCGTCGGACAAACAAATCGTCTGCAGACTATCGTTGGAAGGCTTCTTAGAAGGAGGCTGCTTCTTAGAAGGCGCCAGCCTTACATCTACAAAGAAGGCCCGCGCCTTCTAAGAGGCAGGGATGCTTCTAAGAAGCCTTTCCCCCATCCCCCTACCCCCTTCTGCGCGTGGCCGGCTATCTCCGAAGACTCATCCTGCGGAGGGACGTGCTCGCCTCAAAGACTGCTGCCGTGCGGGGCCGCCTCCGCGCAGGCCCCGAAGAGGGCCCCGCCGCGCTGTCGTGGGGCCTGCGCCAGCCGCGCCCGGCGAAGAAGGGCAGGCCGCGCGCCCGAGCCAGGTCCTCGGCGGGGCCGGGGCGCGCGCGCACGCGGGGGAGGGGGGGAGGGGGCGGGGCGGCCCCGCGGCGCGGAGGCCGCGCGGCAGGGGCGCCCAGGGCCGCGGAGGCCGCCGAGGAGGGCGAGGAGGAGGGGGGAGGGGGGCGGCGGAGGAGGGCGGTGAGGAGGAGGAGGGGGGGAGGAGGGGGGAGGAGGAGAAGGGGGAGGGGGAGGAGGAGGAGGAGGAGGAGGAGGGGGAGGAGGGGAGGGGAGGAGGAGGAGGCCGTGGGGGGAGGAGGAGGAGGGGAGCAGGAGGCGGAGGAGGGAGGAGGAGGAGGAGGAGGAGGGGGGGAGGAGGAGGAGGAGGAGGCCGTGGGGGGAGGAGGAGGAGGTGGAGCAGGAGGCGGAGGGGGAGGAGGAGGGGGATGAGGCGGAGGAGGAGGAGGAGGGGGAGGCGGAGGAGGCGGAGGCGGAGGCGGAGGCGGAGGAGGAGGAGGAGGAGGAGGAGGAGCAGACGGATGGGAGGCTTCGTTCAGGCCTGTGGAACGTTGTTCGAACGAGGTTGGCCAGCGAAAGTCGCTGAGGATGGGCCGAAGTGGCAAGGATGCAAGGGTACCATTAGGAAGGTTGCCCATCCTTGCTATGCGGGCTGATGGTACAGTCGGACAATTGGCAGAAGAGTATCCTTCAAGAACATGGTGCCCTCCGTCGGCCAAAACGACCAGAGCATCCAAGGGTACCCTCCTCAGGATGCACAAGAGCATCCAGCAACACACGAAGAACACCAGGGTGCCCTCCCATAATTGACCTCGATCTGATACATCGGTCCGACTGCAGGGGGGAGGAGGGACGGCTTCTTAGAAGGAGGCTGCTTCTCAGAGGGCGCCTGCGAGGCGAGGGTTTGTCCAGATCCACCGCCTGGGAACACCGACGTCCTGGTGCCCCAGCGGGCGGTGGATGTGGATATATAGTATGGCCCCCGGGGGCCCAGATCCACATCCACACCGCCTGAGGAGGTCCGCGAAGATCGATCCACCAGGCGGTGGTCATGTAAATCTCCGCCTCGGAGCGCCACGGGGAGGGGTGGAAAGCTTCTTGGAAGGAGGCTGCTTCTTAGAACCGGCTGAACGCAAGAGAGACCCTGGGTCCGAGTGACCTCTGCTGCGCGATTTGTTCGGGGCCGCAGGTACACCAAACACAAGCGCGCCAGACGCTACTATCGCATCGCGCTCGGCGATCGGGGTACACCAATGTGACCGCCCGCGCCGAATGTTATGTCAGTCCGGCAAAGGGTCACCCTGACGTCTAGTCGATAGCAGGCGCTGGCCCTGCATCTATAGAGAAGGCCTGCGCCTCCGAGATGCAGGGGTGCTACTATGAAGCCTGCCCCCCTCCCAATATGGCAGGTTCGTGTCGTGCCGACTCTGGCGCTGGTTTCTGGCATCTCGTGGATCGTTCAAACTTGTTCGATCGGCGGTTTTTCGATCACCAGATCGTTCTACAATGGCCAATTATGGGCCACTGGCGGCGTTCAACCTTGAACGCTCGCGGTGGGGTCGCAACCGGTCGACACGACTCGAACCTGACGTAACTGGGAGAACGAATAAGGACATAAACATCAAACAACTCGGAGGTCCGCGCGAATTTCTCGCATCCGCGCTGGACCCCCCTGGGGGCGCCTCTGGCGCCGCCCCTGGCGCTCGGAGCGCGCCAGGGGGGGGGGGGATCCAGCGCCGATCCGAAACATCCGCGCGGACCTCCGCGTTGTGATGTTTATGCCATTCTTCGGTCCCCTGCGTCAGCCCCCCCTGCGCGTGGCTGAGGTCCGCCGCCGCCTCGCGCAGCACCGCCGCGGCCCGCCGAACGTCGCGGCGCTCCGCGGCCAAATCCCGGCCGAGCTCCGCCGGCAGCAGCAGCAAGTGGCGCCACCTCTCCCAGGCACACGCGCGCACGCCGCGATCGGAACGCCTCTTCCCCCTTCGCGCTGTCCTCCTCCTCTCCTCCTCCTCCTCCTCCACCTCCTCCTCCTCCTCCTCCTCCTCCTCCTCCTCCTCCTCCAGCTCCTCCTCTTCCTCCTCCTCCTCCGCCCCCTCCGCCTCCTCCTCCTCCTCCTTTTCCTCCTCCTCCTCCTCCTCCTCCCCCTCCTCCTCCTCCTCTTGCTCCTCCTCCTCGCCGTCCTCCCCGCGCTCTGACTTGTGGGAGAGGGTAGGCAGGCTTCTTGGAACTTGCGGGAGGCCCAAATCCTCCAGGACCCACGCCTCCGACACCACAAGACCCCCCGACTGAAGGCAAGGTGGGGCTGGTGGCTGGGGTGGATATTCGAACCTCCGTCAAAAGTACTCACACCTCCCACTGGCCGTGACACGATCTGTCCGCCTGAGCTGCTGGCGGACGGAAGAGCTGGCTGGCTGAAATCACGACTGCTGCTGCTGATGCCCTGCTGGTTGCTGGCATGGATGGGGCTCTGGGCAAATACAATCCAAACGCAACCGCCGAGCAGCTCGACATCTTTGCGTCCGCTTGTGGCACCTGCTGCACCTGACAAGATCGCCCTCGAGAGTTGGCCAGTGGGAGGTGCTGTCAAGGAGATGATTGAACGCTGTTTCGGCTCGGGCCTGCCGTCGCTCTCTCTTGGTGTCGGCTGCCTCTTGCTGGACTGGGTAGTGCGTCCACCACAACATCTGAACTGCGGCGAGCCTCCCTCGGATTTGCTCTGCAAGCACATCCAGAGCCTCGACCTTGTAGGCCAGGTCGGGGGGCACGGCGGCCCGCGCAGCGGATTCGTCAGCTAGCTCGTCGGCCTTCTCGTTGCCCAAGCTGAATACTTCGCCCGCTCCGCGGGCGTGGACAAGTGGGACTTGACTTCGAAGTCGGAGATCTGGCGTGTCGGAGCGCCTAAGACTGACCAGTCCTGCCAAAACCGTCGGTTGGAAAGTTGTCTCCTGCGGGGCCCTTTTCCTACTAGATAGAAGGAATCCGTGACTATGATGAGGCCCCCCTGGGTGTGACGGAGCAGCTCCAAGGCGCCTCTTAATTGGGCCCTCTTTACAGCCTCTATCCCTACGTCAATAACCTGGAGCGCCCCCGGAGGATAAAATCTTCAGACCACACCCACGTCCCCCATCCCAGGCGGGGGCCCTTGAATTCGGGCCCCCCTGAGCCATCCGCCGCGCCTGGCCGCCAGCCACCGCTGGGCGCGGGGGGGTCCTGGAAAGCCCCTGCCCCTTGGGGCGCGGTCGCTTCTGTGGTTTCCAGAGCGAGCTCGGCTGGAATGAAACCTCGTAGCCACAGACACTCTGGCTGATCGTCGCCAAGGGCCATGTCGATCAAGTCCTGGGTTTCTTGGATCCGAGGGTGTCCCATTTGGAAGAAGAGTGGACATTCCCAGAAGATGCGTGATGATCGGGCAATCGCTGTCTTCGTGCAGGCCATTCGGCGTGGCGTCGGGAACTCCAGGCTGAGCGTCTCGCGGCCTTGAGCGCATTCGCGCGGTGCTGGTGCCCGTCGCGGTCGCGCCGCTCGATCTGCCTTCTCGAACTGCGAATGTCGACTCCTGCCTCTCACCCGCCTGAATTGCGCCCTGTCTGTGCGGCACTCCAAGCCTTGAACTGCAAACAAAAAAAACAGGAACCCGAATATCGCAAACATCGCCAGCTGGCCCTCTCCGGGCCCGCGCGGGCCGAGGGTCCCACCAGTGGTCCAAGAGGGTTCCGATGACGGCGCTGAGGTGGCCGTGGACTACATTCCATCTTCGCCACCCTTGGAGCCCCATGAGGATGTGGGGCCAGGCGATACTGATGCCCTCTCGCAGCTGCGGCTCGGCGTTGACCACCTCGAGCCACATGTACAAGAGCATGGCGCGCATGGAAGTAGTTGGGCCCAGGGCCTCTGGCGGCAGCTTCGCCTGATGTAGCGCAGCGGAAAGACAACTACCTGGCTTGCTGACGCCTTGTACTGATCCTGCTGCACGTCGGTGTAGACTAAGTTCTGCTGGTGCAACTCCATGGCCTTCGGGTCCCCATTGTGCCTGTGGATGGGCATCTGTCCCTTGGTGCTCGCGGGCGTCTTTCGCGACCTTCAGGGGCCTCCGAATGTCCTTTCTGCTCGCATAACATCCGAGGCGCAGCCGAGCACGACGGACCTCGACGTGCCTGCGCTTCCCCGCCGTGGGGTCCATCCCGGGATCATTGTGCTGAGTTTGCTCTGAAAGGGCATTCCTCTGGTCTGATTATCTGCGCTCTGACCTCGTTGTCGTTCGAGAGGAGGGCGGACTTGGGGGAGGGCCTGCAGCCTGACTCCTTGAGTCCATCCTTGACGGGCTGGATGGCCTGGGGGCACTGTTCCACCGAGGCCTTCTTAGAGGCCACCATCCTAGCACGAAGACCATCGACCCATGCCACGGGCGTGAGCCGAGAGAACTGGAGGCGCGCGGCATGCAAAATATCGTGCAAAAGGACTCGAGTCCACGCGATACTCTGCCCACAACCAGCGAGAACACTGCCCCGCGGGGCGATGGCTTCGCTGATGCCCATCTCTGTGGCCAGGAAGCGTGCTGCTAGATGACGTGATGACGAGGCTTAGCTCAACTTTGGGATAGTCCATCTCTAGCGTTACCTTACTTGCGCGTGCTGGTCGTGTCATACAACTTGTCAAAGTCTACGGGCCCTTCAGCGATGGTGATCTTGAGCGCGCTTACTATCCCTGGAAAAAAACAAGCTCAGAACTGATGCCTGCTACCTGGCAGCTGGGCCCCTTGATCGTCGCGCCCGCGCCCTGCCTTGGCGAGCCCCCGTGGCCCAAACCTCCCCCTTCCGAAATCGAATGATCCAGCGGCGCGGCGAGACTGAGAGCGCGATCGGTCTGTCCGAGCCCACCGCGTCGGCCTTGGCGCGACAAGGATCCCCAAGCACTGGACGGGCAGCACCTGCTGCCTCGTGATGCCGATTAAATGGGCCGCGGGCTGCGCGAGACCTGCCTCTGGGAGCCCATTGAAGTCCCGAGCGCGCCACTGGTCGATATCTGTGGCTGAGTGTCCTGGAAATGTTTTAAAGCCTCTGGCCACCTCGTGCTCCTTCCAACCCTTCTCCAGGGCTCTGCCCGCCTGGCCTCCCCCCTAATCTCCTGGGCCCACAGCTCCGAGACTGGACAGCTGGCTCCGAACTGCAGCGGGCCCCAGCACTGCCCCCAGAACTTCCCCTTGGCCTCCAGGATCTGGGTGGGCCCCATGAGAACCTCTTCCTCTAAGATGAAGTGATCGACTTCCTCTGGCGTGACCTCTACTTCTGCCTCGCGGGTGAAACCATGGGCGGCCCCTCCGCCTCGTTTGGGGCTGCGCTCTAGCCGGCGAAGCCTTGCTGCGCAGCCTCCAGAGCGCGCTTCTCCATCGAAAAACTTGACCTGCTGCTCGCGCGCGTCGTGGCACTCGCAGGTGGACATTCGTGGAAAGCCCGCCAAATCAATTGCGGCTTTTCGGCCTCCCAGTCGGAAACCCAATCGAGGTCCTGGATGTCTTTCTCGATGGCTTTCTGGATCCATTGTACTTCGGCCCGGCGCGAACCTAACAACCCTGGAACCTTCCGAGACTGGGCCAACTTGGGAACCTCCGCTTCGGCCTGCGTTTAGGGCGCGGTCACGCTCCCGAACTCGCTGCCGGATGGCGCCCCACCGCCGGCTCTCTTCGCCTTCTTGCAGCTCTGGCGGGCGAGCTTGAAAGGCAGCCCGAACGTCCACGACCTGAAGGGGTCGGCCTCCGGCTCTGCGCTTGGCTGTCGCGAAGCGCAGGGCACCGCCATTCCAAGGCCTGCGAGAGAACGGCGAGCTGGTGGCTGAGCATGGGGTCGTGATGGGCCTCTGCGACAGGATAGGATGACGCGCATCTGGCGCCTCGGGGGTCTTCTGGAGGGCGTCGATGTCGAGCTCCTCCCAGGGCCTCTGGACTGCTCCAGGGCTGGCTGCGACTGGGGCCCCCCTGGGGGCACGTGCCGGTCTTTCTGAAAACTCCGGCATGGAACTCCCCCCGCAACCAAAGATGCGGCCTCCAAGGACTGGTCTCACCAGGCGTGACCTTCAGGATCCCCTTGGAATTTGAAGGTCTGATAAAGTAGTCGATGGTCCCCCCTTAGACGTGGACTGGACCTGGGGCTGCATGAAGACCCCGTCTATGCTCTGCGAGGGCCTCCGTGAGCTCCCCCCCCCCCCCCCCCCATCATGTTCCAGCGCCCCCCCGCGATGCGCGGGGGCATCTCGCGTGCGAACGCGGCAATCTCGTGGACGCGCCGAAGTTTATATTCGTTATATCCTACATAGCTGTGGGAATACACTGAGATGATCCGGATGCTCTGGCCGCGCAGCCGCAGCAGGCACGCTGTCCAGCGTTGGCCTCTGTAGAAAAAGGCCCCTTTTGCCTTTGCTGCCGAGCCTCCTGGCGAAGCCGTAGAGCTGGCGCCGCGCGGGCACGCCTACCCCCCCCCCCCCCCCCGCCCCACCCACCCACCCACACCACCACGCCACCACGCGCCCCGCGCCCCGATGTCTGGGTCGCTGGGCAAAGATAAGAGCGATCACCCTGCTCACGCATAAACTCATGGATTTCTCGCGACCTGGGTTGTGGCACATGCATCTCCCCAAACATGATAATGTGCGGCTGCTGGGAGTCACCTGCCTGAAGTAGGTCTCTAGCACGCTTGCGCTACCTGGTGGCGTTGGCAAGGTAGATGGCCAGCTGCTCAAGGGGGGGCGGGCGAACCTGGCGAGGACAAAGATACGCGTCGTGCATCTCCCATGGCGCTGACAACCGCCGGTCAAAATTGCCCTGGCCATTAAAGCTGGCAGAGCTTGTGAGACTGATTGCATCGTCGCTGGAAGAATGATTCAAACTCGTGAAATCAGAATGTGAAACGGGCAGATCTTCCCTGGGGGTCCGCCTTCTCGCCCGTCCTCACGAGAGACTGCCTGGCGGGCTAGCCCGCCCCTGGGGCGCCTCAGCGGGCCGCTTCCTTGGCAGCCCACCCGCTGGCCTTGCCGCCGCCGAGGCTGCGCCTTCCAGGCGAGCGGCGCCCTGGGTCGCTGGAGCCGCGGCGCGCCGCTCAGCCGCCTGCCCCGCGCCCTGCGCGCTGCGCGGGTGGAGGCGCCGCTGCTGCCTAGAGCTGCTCGAGGAGCGTCTGGGCCTGCGCGCCAGCGTCGACCTTGAGGCTGCTGATGGCGTCTCGCACGCCTTGGGGCACCTCTGGCACTGGCGGGCGCTGGGGTTGCAGGCCTGGTGGCTGGTCGGGATGGGCTGGTTGCCGACCGTTGCCGCCACCAACAGGGTCACCATCAACAGCGCCAGATGCTGCAGCTGGCCTCCACAGTGCGGCGGCCTCCGCACTGGCCTGCTCGAAGCGCTGGCGGGCGTCGGCGAGCCCCTGCTGTACTTTGGCCCGTTCCTCTTGCACTCGCCGCTGCTCATCCTGAATCCTTTTGGCCCAGTCTCGAGCTCCTGGCCGCGCTTCTCGTGCTGCCGTACGAGCTGGGGCGCGGTGGCGGCGGCGGCGGCTGGGGCTGGCTGCTTGAGTGCACGAGCGCCGCCGCGGAATCGACAGCACCGCCGAACTGGGTCTTCTGCTCTGCGGAGAAAACGCCGAAGATCGTGCCGAAGATGGGTTCATGTCGGGGTCGGGAGCCGCCGCGCCTCCCGCCCCGTATCCTCCTGTTGCGCCGCCGCGGTTCTCGCGGTCGCCGCCACGGTGCGCGTGCAAGGGAAAGGACTGCCCGCACTTGTACCAGAGCCTCTTCTTGGTCTTGGAGGTGAGCTGCCACGCGCCCCAACCCTCACACACCACATATGGGCGCTGCTTGGTCTAGCGCCCGTCCTTGTCCCAATCACCCCAGGTCGTGGCTGGCCTGGTGACTCTGGTGCTGGAGCGTGCCTGCTGGGCGCGCGTCTTAGGTGGGTTTGGGCCCCAGCTCCTCGGACCAGACAACAAGCAACGCCTTGAGCCTCCTTCCTCCTGATCCTCCTCTTCCTCATTCTCCTCCTCCTCCTCCTCCTGCTCCTCCTCGTCCTCCTCTCCCTCTTTCTCCTCCTCCTCCTCCTGCTACTCCTCCTCCTTTCCCTCCTCCTCCTCCCCTTTCCCCCGCCGCTGCCTAAGCGGCTGTGCGAAAGCACCACACCGCGTGGACCTGAGGTTTACCTTTGCCCCCCCTTTCCTTCAGATCCTCCTCCCTCATCCCTCGCCATCAATATCCATGCTCCTCCTCATGTTCTTCCGTTTGTCCTGCTGTCCGTCCTCATTACTATCCCTGCTCCTCCTCTTCCTCCTCATCCTCCTCGTCCTGCTCTTCCTCCTGGTCATCATCCTCATCCTCCTCCTCGTCCTCACCGCTTCCTGTTCCTTCTCGTCCTCCTCCATTTAGAAACCCCTCCCTGTCGCACCCCGAGGCCGGTCGGAAGTTTGAAGCTTGAAGTCCCACCAGCCCTCTGGGCGTAGGTGGTCTAGAGCAGATCCTCTTCCACCCCTCCCTCTTCCCCCTTGGGGAGGGGTTTACCCCTCCCCCTACCCCCTCCCCTGGACCTGGACGGGGGGGGCCGCGGGTAGTTAGAGCGTCCAAGATGGCCCAAGACGGCTCCAAGAGCGCCTCAGAGAACCCAAGATGAGCTCCAAGATGGCTCAAGATAGCGCAAGATCGCTCACGATGGCTCCTAAGATGGTTCCAAGAAGCCCAAAGACGGCCCCAAGATAACTCCAAGTGGCCAAACAGCTCCCCAAGGAGGCCCCGAAGAGGCCAAAATCGTCCCAAAACCTAAGGAAAATCAATGATTTTTGCTTTCTCGCCTTTTCGCTTCCGATGGCCTATCCGAGGCCTGGAGATGGCTCCAAGATGGCCCAAGAGGGCCCCAAGAGAGCCCCAAAAGAGCCCCAAGACGGCCCCAAGAGCGCCCAAGAGCACTCCAAGAGCGTTCCAAGAGGGGTCCAAGAGGCGATTTTAGGGGCTTCCGAGGGGGGACGCTAATTAAACCCCCCCTCTTGTTTGATCGACTCCCTCCAAGATGGCCCCAAAAGCGCCCCGAAGGCTCCCCAGAGCGCCTCAAGAGGGTCCCAAGAGGCGCCCAAGATGCCCCAAGGCGCCCAAAAAGCCCTCCAAGAGGCCCTCAAAAGACCCCCAAGAAGCTCCTTCCCCTCCTCCTCCTCCTCCTCCGATTCTTCCTCCTTCTCCGTCCTCCTCCTCCTCCTCCTCCTCCTCCTCTTCTCCCCTCCTCCTCCTCGACGACGACGACGACGACGACGACGACTCCTCTTCCATCCTCCCCCTCTCGGGGTCTGTGACAGCTTCCCCCGCCCTTTGTTATTCTGCATGCTCCCCGACTTCCCTGATCACCTCAACTCCCCTGAGCATCGTTTCTGGATGGGCTGGTGGGGATACGCGAAGCGTCAACAATTTAAAACTTCGCAACGCAACAGTTCCACTGATGGCGGGGGGGGCCCTTCTGAACTCTGTTGTTTGCCTGGGCGCCGCGCAGAATCGTAAACAAAATGTAACAATGTCACGGATTGAGGGAGGGCCGCTTTCAAAATGTGGTTCTCGCCCCAGCGCCGCGCACATGCGTTTATAACGCGCAGAGCTTCACGGCTCATTTTCAAAATGTTGATATGGCTTTCGTGCCGCGAATACTCGTATAGATTCGTGACACCCTATTGCAAGAGTTCCACGGATACTAGACATGGTGTTTGTACCAATTCAGGAATGTCAGGGCGCATCAATTGCGCTGGGTCGTATTGTCAAAATACAAGGAACGGCGTTCTGGTACGATTCAGGATCGTCTAGACGCAACAATCACGTTGATCTGTAGCGATGAATCTTGGAAAAGGTGTTCGGGGTCCCACTCATGATCTTCAAACGGCTCTCCCAACGAGGCACGCCCCTCAGTGGAAATGACTCCGTGCAAGGGCCTGTGAATAGGGAGCTTGGAGGGAAGGTTTGTTCCAGCATCGTCGATAAGTCTTGGGTTTGCACTGGTGTTCCTCTTCCTGTGCGCCTGGCAAACGTCGGTTTGCTTGACATGTCGCATTTTGGTGGCAACATTCGGGTAAAAACTATTCGGAACGCAACGCTCGTTCAAATAAAGGCCGGGCCCCAGTTCTGCAGCGCACGCTGGCGAGAACCAACATTTACAAGGCATTCGGGATCAGCAAATATCTGAATGGGTGTGGCAAGGCTGACCATCCCCCCTCGTCTGCCCGACACTCCCAAAGAGCAGGTATGGCCTTTTCCGAAGGCCTACAGCGCACAAGGTTTAAGCTCTTGATGGCGATGCGGCATGAACTCGATTCGGGCCACTGCAGCGATGCCCGTCGAACTGGATTGCCATCGTTGCGGCCTGAGAGGTGATGTGAAGGTTTTGGCGGTGAGCACGCTCTCCACGGTCGACCCGCACGGCATGTTACTGCCCTCCTCCACCAACATCCTACCCCCCCATACATCTTCGATACAGTCGGAGCGTTGACCCAAGGAACCCAAAACAAGGAACGAGGCCCCTTAGATCCACAAATTGAACTTCGATTTCCCATCGGAAACCGAAGGACAACCCAAGGCAAACTGTGAAGCAGTCAAGGAACACGGAGCCCCTCCCCAACGAAGAGGGTTCCTTCTTCAGGGCCCCGACTGTAGCACGGCCGATGCAAAGACGCCATCGAGCACCTCTCGCCGAAGAGCAATGAAGAAAGTGCCGGCGCGGTGGGCGGCTCCATCCCCGCCGCACCATTTCCGAACCGTTTACCCCCGGGCTGGTGCAGGGCCTGATTCCGGTTCCCGTTCGACCAGAAGCCACACCACTGAATGGGGGCAGATGGGGTT